TTAAGGGAAAGAAGTGGAATGTTATGCAATGGCCAAGTCAATCACCTGACCTGAATCAGATTGAGCATGCATTTCACTTGCTGAAGACAAAACTGCAGGGAAAATGCCCCAAGAACAAGCAGGAACTGAAGACAGTTGCAGTAGAGGCCTGGCAGAGCATCACCAGGGATGAAACCCAGTGTCTGGTGATGTCTATGCGTTCCAGACTTCAGGCTGTAATTGACTGCAAAGGATTTGCAACCAAGTATTAAAAAGTGAAAGTTTGATTTATGATTATTATTCTGTCCTATTCATTTTGGTCCCTTAACAAGTGGGAGGCACATATGCAAACTGTTGTAATTCCTATACTGTTCACCTGATTTGGATGTAAATACCCTCAAATTAAAGCTGACAGTCTGCAGTTAAAGCACATCTTGTTTGTTTCATTTCAAATCCATTGTGGTGGTGTATAGAGCCAAAAATGTTAGAATTGTATCGATGTCCCAATATTTATGGACCTGACTGTAGGTTCAACCTGTATGGGGTTAACTGATCTTGCAACCCATAGTGATCCGCGGGATCAATTTCAGCGGTTTGCAGCCTGTAAGGGGTTAACTGTGGCAGCTCTGTGCTAAAGTCGGAGATCGGCTTCTTTGGCCTGAAACCGACACATGTGCAGTTGCTTCAGGGGATACATATCTTCATGGGATACTCATTTTACCGCTACACTGGCACCACTCCTTCCTCTCTGGAGGGGTGACACCACGTGTTACCGCAACGGGTGACATCAACCCTAGGGACACCTCTGGCACACAAATATACAAACAGGAAAATGTGACATTATCCCCCCTTTTATGGGCCTCCCCACTCATCAAAGCAGAGACGGAACCAAAACCAATAAAAGGACTGTAAAAGACCCAGGGCACCTTAAGAAGAGAACAGTGGGAGGGTCCTAAAGGGGCATGATTAAATAAAACAAAAGTCTTTTGTACTCAAAAATATGCTTTGATTGCTGTGCTACAAGCAAGAGTCGCACAGACCTGCATTTAGCACACCATTTAAAAAAAATTAAAATCTTGCTTTTTTATGATTTTGTGTACACTGAAAATAGACAGAGGGCTTACACTTTGTGTGAGCCCATTTTAAAGAACAATCCCCCCAAAAAAGTCAGGAACTGCTTAGCAACCTGCAACTATTGAAAGAATAAGCACTTTGGTCAGACGTATGTAATGTGCAAAATAGTGTACAGCAGGCCTTGAAATTTCCACTCGCCAGCTCACATTGGCGAGTGGAAATTATGGGGTTGGCGAGTGTGTGTCCCAGGGCCGTCTTGCTGAGCAGGCTCAGAACTCAGGGACGGATCTGTAACTCGCACTGGGAGCCATCAGACTGCTCAATAGTTGAGCAAAGTGAAAGCAAAGGAAGGAGTGCATGCTGTGCTCGCTGCCTCCTCCTAGAGTACAGTACCCGGCTCTGTGAGTGAAGGTAACGAACTACTGCAACTTTCTATAGGGCTGTGTCCGCGTGTGTATGTACATGTATCTGTGTGTGTGTGTTTGCGTGTGTCTGTGTATGCATGTACATGTGTCTGTGTGTATGTACATGTGTCTGTGTGTATGTACATGTGTGTGTACATGTACATGAGTGTGTGCGCGTGTGTGTGCGCGTGTGTGTGTTTGTGTAAATGTATGTACATGTGTCTGTGTGTACATGTGTCTGTGTATGTATTTACATGTGTCTGTGTATGTATGTACATGTGTCTGTGTGTATGTACATGTGTCTGTGTATGTATGTACATGTGGCTGTGCATGTGTATTTCTGTGTATGTACATGTGTCTGTACATGTATGTGTGTCTGTACATGTGTCTGTGTGTGTATACATGTGTCTGTATGTGTATGTGCATGTGTGTACATGTTTCTGTGTGTGTGTACATGTCTGTGTACAGGTGTCTCTGTTTGTGTGTGTGTATGTACATATGCCTGTATGTAAACCTACATGTATGGGTGGTTTGGACAGGTTCAGGATTATGTGGTTATTATGGGTGGTAGAGTATGGGACATTTGAGTTACTGCTGGGTTGGATAGTAGGTAGGATATGCTTGGTAGTGTTATGATTTTGTGAGTGAAAGAATATGGGGGGTTATGGTTGTATGCGGTACATGGTCTAAGCATGATGGAGTGTTTAGGGGGCCATTGGAGGCCCTGATGTAATGTGGGGGGACTCTGGGGTCACTGATATAATGTGAGGGGACTCTGGGGACCCTGATGTAATGTGGGTAACACTTAACAGTGTCATTTCATGAAATAATTTACGAGGGTATGTTTAGGGGCGAGGCAGGGTACAGGTTAGGTGCAGCAACTGGTGGCGAGTAACTCTTAAGGCCTGGCTAGTAGCTCAGGACTTGAAATTTTAAGCCCTGGTGTACAGTATACATTGCAGAACTCTGTTAAGTTGGCCATACACAGTTTCTTTTCAATCAGCCAGTGGGTTAAATGACTAAAAGCAAACAAATGAGTTGGAAAAATCCTCAAACACCCTTCCGGGACATTGTATTATGAGAGCGCACCAAACTTTATCAGAATACACTGATCAGTGACTGCAGCAACCTGTCCGAATTAAGATCAGTGTATGGCCAGTTTACCACACATACTGTCTTCAGTGCAAGGTTTAGGAGTACATAACTCGCAGTGCAGGGGTCAGGAACACTTAACACACAGAATTCAGGGGTCAGGAGTATGTAATGCACACAATTCTTGGGTTAGATGTGTATAATAATATACAGAGAGGTCAGGAGTAACCTTCTGGGACAAATGCCCCCCCCCCACCAAACAAACACAAATCCTTTCCTCACTAAATCCTCCCTCCCAGCACAAATCCTCTCCCTTTAAATTCCACCTCCAGCACAATTCCCCCCCCCCCTGCCAATTTCCTCTCCTAGCACAACTGTTCTTCCCTCCCAAATCTGACATCAAAAGCACAAATTTTCCCTTCACAATTCCCCAGCACACAAAACCTTTTTCATCCCCCCTTCCTTAGCACAAATCCACTCCTTCCAGCAAAAAAAAACTCTCCTCCCACAAATCCTTTCACTCCCCCCGGAACAAATTCTCTCCCCCTACAAATCTCCCAGCACAAATCCTTTAACCTCCTAAATTCCCCCTCCCCAGCACAACTTTCCCCCCAGAACAAATCATTTCTTCCCCTATGGGAAATCCCTACCCCTAGGACCTAATCCCCCCCCCCCAAATCTAACATCTCAACACAAATAATACTTCCCAAAATGTCCAATTTTATCACAATTCCTCCTTCCCCTCTTCACCCTCCTAGCACAAATCCTTTCCCCTTAGCACAAAACCTCTCCTCCCCCAATTTTCCCCCCAACACAAGCCCTAAACCCCAAATTTCTTCCTCTTAGCACTAATCCTCTCCTATCCTATTCTCCCCCTTCCCCAGCACAAGTGTTCCCCAAACCTTCACCCCAGCACAAATCCTCCCACCCTCCAGCACCTATCCCCATCCCAATCTCAACTCTTAGCACAACACCCCCTAAATTTCCCCTCCTAGCACAAATACTTTCCCCTCCAAAATAAACCTTTGCAACACAAATCCTCTCACCTCTGAAATTTCCTCTTGCAGTGATAATTCTCTCCTCCTCCAAGTTCCAACACCCAGTAAAAATTCTCTTCCTCCCAAATTCCCCCTCCTAGCACAAATTGTATTCCCCCTTAGCACAAATCACCCTTCCCCCATCTCCCTTCTAACATCAATCCCCCCCCCCCAAACTCCAGCTCTGCAGCACAATTGCTGTTACCCCAAATTCTACCGACCCAGCACAAAACCTCTCCCCCCTTAATCCACCCTCCAAGCATAAATCATATCCCCCTCTTAGAACAAATCCCCCAGCCTTATCTCCGTTATAACATAAATCCTCCACTCCCCCCCCCCCCCAAATTCCACCTTTCTAGCAGAATATTCTTCCCCCAAATTCCACCTCTCCAGCACAAAACCTTTCCCCCTAAATCCCCTCTCTTAACATGAATCATGTCACCCCCAGCAACAATCTTGGTTACCCCCATCCCCCCAAGTCATTTTATCCCCCAGTACAATTCAATGTTCCTCCCTAAACTTACAGATCTCAGATACAGTGAGTCAGATACAGTCTCCCCACCCTAAATTACCCCTCCCAACACAAATCATATCTTCCCTCCTTAGCACAAATCCCTCACCCCCATCACCCTCCTAGCACAAATCCTCTTCCCCCAATTTCCACCTCCCCAGGACAAATCCTTTTCCTCCAAAATCCCCACTCTTAGCATAAAGCCTCTCTCCCCTAAATCCTCTCTCTTATCATGAATCTTGTCACCCCCAGCAACAATCTTGGTTACCCTCATCCCCCCAAGTCAACCTATCCCCCAGTACAATTCACTTTTCCCTCCGTAAACTTACAGATCTCAGATACAATCTTACATGGGGAGATGTCCTTCCTCTCATGTTTCTACTTGTGTGTGTCATGTGACACATTAAAGCAAATGAGGAGCTTAGGGGAAGCTTTCCTTGGCTCTGAAGTCTGTGACAGGTTGCTGGCAAGGAACATGTCAGCTGCAGCAGTGCAGGGGATTGCGGCATCGGGAACCTGGGGCACCCCACAGATGTCAGGAATATGCTTTGAGTTCCCAACACTAGCAATGCTTCTGATAAGTAACTGACAAATGTCTAACGGGAGAGCTGAATTTTATAGGGAGGGGGCTGGCACATTTACAAGCCCCATTATTGATGAAGTTCATGAAATGCAATATGATAATCAGGATTGGGTGCAGCTGGGAACAAACTCAATAGCTTAAAGTTTCTCCGCACTTTTCTTTCTCATTCCTACTAAAAGGAATCATTCCATTCTAAGATCCTTTTCAGTGGTTCCAGGTGTTACCCAAATCCTCAAGGTACATTTCCAACATACACTGCTAAGAAATGTGCCACTCATCAAGTATACCCAATTAAAGTGTTACTAAACCCAGGAGTCTGCATTCACTATATCTGGTCTCCCACAGTACACACTACATGGAAATGCAATTATTTTTGCAAAATACAAACTGCTAAATATCTTTTCTCATCAGCAGTTAGAGCAGTCTTGTGACCTCTATGTCCAGCAGAGCACTAGTTAAAGCTTGTAGGAGGAGTTTTCATTTCTCTCTAGGAGGATGCAGAATCTCTGACCTCTGTCTGGAGAGTGCTGATTGGCCCTGTGATGATCACATGCACTCATCCATAAAAATAACCTCTCTAACAATATGCACCAAACTGAGCATGTGCAGAATGTCTCCAAAGGAGATAAGGGGGGGGGGGGCAGTGGAAGAAGGGGAGGATCAGAGTCAGGATCAAATGGCCTTTTTACACAATGCAGAGGATTAACCCCTTTATGTTCCACAGTAAGTATAACAAGCATGCTTTGCTGCATATACAGACTGATTTTACTGTTGTGTGGGTTTAGGAACACTTTAACACATGTCTCACTAAGTGATTCAGATAGGAAAGGTTAAATGGCATGAATATGATATTATTATTGTACAGGATTTATATAGCGCCAGCAGTTTGTGCAGCGCTTTACAACATAAAGGTAGACATTACAGTTACAATACAATTTGGTACAAGAGGAAACAGAGGGCCCTGCTTGCTAGAGAGTTACAATCGAAGAGATAGGTCGTTCATCTGAGAAATGTTTCCTTCTAAATATAAATGAAACATTGTAAAAATCATTGTTTGCTGCAAACTGTATTTCCTCTTTTATTTCTGAGCTTTTATTTTGATTTCTAATATGATTTCTACAAACCTAGCACCACTATGGCTCTTTCTGTTACACCAAGACACCTAGCTTCCCCATTCTCTCTTATATATATCACTCTGTGTTTCTGTTTGTATATATTATGCACCTTCCTGGCCTTTTTGAGTTTCTTGTATCAAGGCTCGCGTCTCATTCAGTCAAGTCCTATGTCTTTCACTGGCACAGCTCTCCAAATCACCATGGTTACTCTACAAGGAGACTCAAGGGAGCTGGTCTTCACATCCAGTAACTATGGAGACAAGGGGATGGTTGGCAAATGAGAGTCCAGCAAGGTCATATGAACAATGCCACAGCAATGTGGAAGCAATGGCCTGTTTATTTCAGCCCATATTTGATGGTTTGCTTCACACTGTGTGTTAGCTGAGGCATTGCATTAACTCTTTCTGTAGGACTCAGTCCAATATATGGCAATTTATAACGCTTTATTGGATAACATTTTGTAGGCATGTATGTTCTTTACACCTAATTGGGCATTGTGTATGCTAATATAACCTCATGACCACGTGTATGCTGTTGTTACTTCTGCTCTGTAGGATTTTTACATATTATTTCTACAGTTCATACTAACCAACAGATTAACTGTTTAATCAAACAATAGAGTTTATCAGGTTTATATACTAAAGAACATGCTCACTTTGCAAAAGTACATTTTCCCTTTCCAAAGGAATTTCCACTTAGCTTAGTGAATGTGGAAAAAAATTCCATTTGCAAAGAATACCCAATAACATGCAAGAAAAGAAAAAAAAATTTGCTTGCATGTGATTGGATGATAAAAGCAAGCAAAGCTTCCCCCTCAATCACTAAGTTAAAGCGGTGGTAAATCCACAACCAAAAATGTCACGTATTGCAGTGCACCTCTCTTCAGATGTAGTGGCTGCATTAGTTTTCTTTTTTTAGGTCTTTTCCTTTCTGTTTTCAACTGGTGATCTGGCCAGTAACACAGCTCATATTAGAGTGCCTTCATTCTAGATGAAGGAGCACCAGGGGCACCTTTGGGCAGCAGCATTGTCAGTCTAGAGCAGGGGCCTCCAAACTCGGGATTTCACTGCAGCGTTGCTCAGGGTTTCCCTCCAGCACTTACCTTGTCCTGCGCTCCCGCGATGTCCCCCCTGCAGTGTCCCCTGCAATGTCCTCCAGCCGATGCCAGCATCCGTCTTCCGGGTTCCGTTCACTGCGAGCGTCGGGATGTAAGGGACGTACGGAGGACGGAACAGGCGGGAAATTCAAAAATGTAAAAATATGACATTCACTCAGTACACTAAAACCTGACAGTATTACATTACTGTATCAAAGCATTTCACATACATTTTGTCCCTAGTGCTTTGTCCTGTGCCCTGTCTGCATTTTTACTGTTCTTTCTGCCTGGAAACTGAGAAACGTCCATGGCGTCCAAAAAGCGTCCCTTTAGGTCAAAAGCGGTTTTAGACCAGCTAGAGAACAGCGATAGTAAACCAGAACCACTTGCAGAATTGAGGGATAATGATTTGTGGGGAAATTCGTCATCAGACACTGAAAACGATTCTGCAACTGAGCTCAGTGATGTGCGAACTTGGCGCTCTATTTCAAATTTCAGTGTTTTTGGTTTGATTACATTATTGAATGAACTTTATTATTATATTATTATTTTTTATGATTATTTATTATATTATAATTTATGATTTCGTGTTTCAAATTTTGTCATACCCGGGATGTTTACTAGAATCTTGCTCGGACAGATTTCAGTGAGTTATTCCTAAGAATTACAGGCCTACAATAAAAAAACAACAGATTTCCATGCAAAAAAAAGCAATTGCTTTGAGCACAGAAATATTGACATAATCAGACTGCTAGTGAGGTTAAAATAATAAAAGATTTAAAAAAAAATTAATTTCAGCAGAAAATGTCCTGGGCCCAGCATCGGTGAAAATAAACATGGCCTCTGGGTTGGTGGTCATTAGCAGGAGGAGTAGTGCCCCATCATTGGTATTAGTGGGAGGAATAAAGCCCCATCATTGATGTAAGGGCAGGAATTATGCCCCCCTGTTGGTGTCAGTCGGAGGAATAGTGCCCCAAGGGCCATATAAAGGCTAGCAAAGGGCCACATCCCGCCCTCGGGCAGCAGTTTGGAGACCACTGGTCTAGAGGGAGGGGAGCGTTAAATGTACTAGCAGGTTTAAATACACTAATACATTGAAACTAAATTCCAACTAAAAGGTTATAAGCAGATACAGCAAAAACATTTTTTTCTTTTTGGGAAAAAAATTTAAAAAAAGCTGATCGTTGTAATCACCCCTGCCAGTGTTAAATGGTTTGTCTCATCCCTGTAACTGCAAGAGAGCTTGTTCTTTAGAAAGAGAACATACTTACTGACTGATTCAACAGATGAAAATAGTGGAAAGAAAGCCTAAAAAAGAAAACAAATGCAGCCATCACATCTAAGAATTGGTTAGGCTGCAATATAATACATGGTTTTCTTTTGGGCTTAATACAGCTTTAAGGTAAAATTCCCTTGCAAAGTGATAGTACACTGTTCTAGGTAAACAGCCTATTTACCATTAGTAAATACAAATCTTTGTGTCAGCACAGCAATATTTAACAATACCTATATAATGTGAGGACCTATTACACACTCCCAAACAGGTGGGCCCTCACGCTACACACGTTTTGGCACAATTTGCTAACGTAAGAGTTCAAATCTAATGAAAAGCTACCTGGTATATTGCCAGCTTTGCCTTATGTATTTATGTTATAATGGTGAATGTGTTAATTTTGTAAATGGTCTGTCAACTAGGGCCCATCAACACCATTTTGTTGTAACTGTGTTAATGGCTTATTCACACCCTTGATCTGCTGTTCAAAAACAAAAAACACTACCACCCCAGTGCTCTCACATTCAGTCACACTGCTCCAACTGCAGGTGCCAAACCATCTATGGGCCTAATCTCCTCTCACAACATGAGCAAGCAAAGTAATGGGGGCCACACACCAATCATCCATCTGTCCTCAAATGGCTTTATTGGGACAAGCAGAGGACACTTTATCTGCTGGGGGCACTTAATTGCACTGTTAATTATGAATGGCACCCCAAGGGTCCTCTGTAATTCACCTGAGTTGCAGAGCAATAGAGTAATTCTCTGCCCTGTATTGCTTTGTGTCTCTGTATATTAGTAAAAAATGTAGCAGGTACAATTTTTGACCTGTTGTGGAATGTTTGGCAGACAATTCAGGTGAGTGAGTTGCCTCAATGTAAGATATCCAAGGATACAAGTGGTAAATGCAATGCAGTGGATTTCTCTGGTGCTCTGCAAAGCAGGTGGGTTGTGGCGGTGCACTGGGTCTAGTTATAAATGTTTATAGTCAAAATTCACCCGCTTAAACGCAAGATTCACACATTTTCACATAAGAGTCAGTTGTATAAAATAGGTAAATCTTGGCTGAAAACCTTTATAAGCTCATCACTCTTCAAGCGGAGCTCCACCCAAGAGGGGAAGTTCTGCTTTAAGGACTGCTCCCCCGCTCCCCATTAAGGATTGGCACCTTTGGGGAGCGGGTACCCAAATTTGACAGGTACCCGCTCCCACTTCTGGTCAGATTGCCTAGGCGATCAGAAACGGAAGGTGTCCTCCCTCCCCGTAGACTTTTGGGACACGTGACAGGTCCCAGAAGAAGACTACAGGACCATTCACGATGCGGAGCGCTACTCGCGCATGTGCAGTGGGTACCCGGCTATGAAGTCACAAGCTATCACAGTCGGGTGCCCACACTGAAGATGCCGGCCTCCTGGAATACAGGACGGCCGGTGAAACAAGCTGCGGGGGACACACCATGGGACCAAGGGACAGGTAAGTGGCTGTTTTTTAAAAGTCAGCAGCTACAGTTTTTGTAGCTGCTGACTTTTATTTTATTTTTTGATAGGTCGAATGGAACTCCGCTTTAAGGTTTCATATTAATAGTTTGTTTTAAACAATAACGTGACAAAGCGAGTAACATTTAGAGTTCTAAATGTCAATATATTTTTGTAAGTTAACTACAAATGATTCAGCAAAAAAAATAATATGCTCTTTATAACACATACACAAGAAGGGAAATGGTGCAAATAGCACATGATATGGTAAGAAACAAGATTCACAGGCCAGCCAGAAAATGCATTAATTTGGATTCTGTCTTAAATAATTTGACGTAAGATTGCAGCAATATTATAAAATTATAAAAATAATAATAATTTAGGCATTTTAACTGATAAAGACTGGTGTTTCTGAAAAGGTTCATACAAGGTTAATATAATGAATCCCTTTGTTAAGGCAAATTATTTAAGCTTAGTTAAACAACTTAAAGAAATGTTAATATCCAATGAGCACTTTAATAAACAGATCCCACAGCCAATCCAACAGGGTTCCCAGTACTAATAATTTCAGGTAGGACCCAGTACAGTTATCCATGTGTAAATGGAAATCTTGGTTCTGGAAAACAAGTCTGGTTTTAATCTCGCTCGGTTTCCTTATAGCATATTTAAAGACAATAATTGTATTGCTGCCTTCTTCAGCTTTCTATTGATGGCTATGTCCCCACTAGGGTCAGTCACTCTCTCTTTTGTTCAGTTTGTTCAGATAACCATCATAGGTGACCACTGAAGAGTGAGGGAAAATGCAAAATTTTTAGTTAACACCAGA